TTGGAGGAGCCTTCCTCTAAAAAAATATGATGGATCCTCTAATCTTGATGAACATCTAAACACATAACTTACACAAGTTACTTTGCTAACACATGAAGATGTTGTTTTATGTCATATATTCTTTACATCTCTGAAAGGTTGAGCATTGAGTTGGTTCATTAAGCTCCCTTTGGGATCTATAAATTCATTAGAACAATTATCATTCTTATTTACTGTGCAGTTCGCTACTAGTCAGCCATACCAACTAACATCATTGGCATTGGCTAATATCAAACTAGAGAAAAAAAAGTCTTTTCAATTTTTCATGGATCATTTTAATAAAATTGCATGGAAATAAAAAATATGAACCACGTAGTTTCTATGGATGGATTGAATACTACACTATAAAGCCTGAATTTTTCATAAATAGTTTGTGCAAAATACCCCCTATGGACATGAATGATTTAAGAAGAATAACATTCAACAATTCAATATTACACGCATTCAACTGAAAGAAACAATTATCAATTTTAAGAACCCAAAGACATCCAATCATGGCAATAACATATCAAAAGTCAAACCATACAATTCAATCCAATCATTCATAAGATATTCCAACAAGAAATATATATGAACACAACTTTGAGGTATTCAAAACCCCTTCAAGATCATTTAATATAAAACCTACATGGTTAAGGAACAATCCTATTACCCAAAACTTATTCCATACTCATAAGCAAGATAACTCACTTTTCCCTTACTTGAAAAAGCTCCTACAAAGGTAAGAGTGCAACAAGGTGGTCTTCTTATTATGTTCCAAGTTCCTCCAACAATGTTTTAAACAACAAGAGAATATTTAGAAACAAATCAGAACTCATAATTTTTCTAAAAGTTATTTTAATTAATTAAATTAATTATTTTATTTTAATTATGAAAACTAGAGTGGTAAATTGTTTTGCTAATGTCATAACTCAAAAGTAACACTTTTGAAACTAGAATGTCAAAAACTAGATCATAAATCAAAAGTAACACTCATTCATGTGAGGTTAAAAGTAACTATTGAATATATTACTAAAATAAATGGTCTTCTAACCTTTTATCTCATTTTTTATTTATTTTAACTATATTTAATACTTACATTTTGTGCTACATGAGTGAAGGTTTCTTTGGCAAAAAAAATTAGATGAAATCTTAGGTGAAATACCAAAAAAATAGACCCTCATTCATGTGAGGTTAAAAACAACTATTGGATATATTACTAAAACAAATGGACAATTGAGAAGAAATACAATTACCTTCAACATTCTTAAAGCACTCTCATTAAAAAAAATCAACTTAAAAATACTTGCATTCAAGATAATCATTCAAATTTATAGAGATAGTATGGTTTGAAACAAAATATTTTCAACCCCTTTACTTTAAAATATTGACATTTAATCTCCCTTTATTTTTTTATAATCATATGTCACTTTCATATATTTTAATTTTCACCTATTTTTCTAATAGATGATGCACACTAAAATGGTAAAATATATAGAGAATTTTTTTTTCATTATATTTTGTAAGATTGAGAAACTGAGAGTCAAGACATAGATTGTAGTTCTCTTTGAGAAAGTGACAAAAAAGAAAAAATTGGTATTTTACATAAGACAAGTGGTGAGTTGTATTGCTATCACTATTTGTGAGAATTGAAATATATTATAAATCATTATTGTTAGGATAACACAAAGATATTGAAAAAATATATTATATAAAAAATGAAAAACTTTGTAATTATACTTTCACTAATAGAAATGCTTTTACTAGATTAGATTCTATTATTTTTCTTTACTCGTATTATGGAGGTTTTCACATTAAAAATTAATGTTATTATTTTATTTTCATACTTTCATTCAATGTTTATTTTAAGTTTACATTATTAGTGAGAAATTAATTTACTAAATTCTAACGTGTTATTTTTTATAATTATTTTTATAATTTTAAATTCATGTTTCAGTAAATCAATTCCATTACAAAATAATTATATCAAAATTTAAATTATCGTCTTTGGTAACAATGTTTTCATATATGTGATTTATATGATTTTATGTTAATTATATGTTGCGTGTTGTGGTTTCAATAGTTTTGTAGGGCTTTGAGGGTACCTTTAAGGCTAAGTTGAAGAGTTGTGGGTTGAATTGAAGCCAAGTTTGACCAAAAAAAGAAGAAGAGGAATATATAGATTTTGAAAATTGAAATTTTATAAGTTTCATTTTTAAAAAAACTCTATAGAAAAGTTAAAGAGATGAACTTTGTGACCAAGGAGCTTGTTTCTTATTCTAATCCTTTTTGAAGCTTCAATATCCTTCCATGAAGTTGATATCAAGTCTTAGAAGTTGATCAAACCTTCATGAAGCATGAACTTAAGGAAAAAAGTTGACCTTGGAGATTTTAAAGTTCTTTCCCTTTTGTTTTGATTTTAGCTTCTAAGAAGCTGATTGAGGCAAGAAAAGCTTGTTTGAAAGTTTCTTAAAGTTGTTCTAAGTTAAAATTGGTGTTGGAAAACCAATATGATGACTAGACATTAAGATTTTGAAGGAATTACTTATGTTGGAATTTTTGGGTTTTGAATCCTGTTAGAGGGGAAAATGATTTGTGTTGCAAATGTTGTTGCATGCATGATCCATTGTTGATTCTAGTATCCATTAAGGGTTTGGTTTTTGGTTTTAAGGCCTAAAAGTGCCTTGCATAGTGAAGATGAAAGGCATTCTCATTTAATGAGATGAATCTTGCTCAATGTGCCTCAATAGGTTGAAGGCCCAAACACGAAAATCAAGTTTTTTTCTCAATAGGATAGGGTCTTGCCCAACAAGAGTGATAAAAACTATGAAGCTTTACTTAGCGACATGGGTTCGTTGTGTGAGTCTCTACCATGTTAGTTATGTGGCTCAATAAGAAAATATCGTTTACCTAGCAACTTTTAGGGGTAAACTGAGCGAGGTGGTTCCCATTAGCGAGAGTTTACCTTTGATGGGATGAATGTTTTAATTTTCTAAGTAGAAGGGTCTTGTTCAATGAATTACGATCTTTGTCATGATGAGAGTTTTTGAACTCGTTAAGCTAAACATTTTGGCTAAGCGAGTCTTAGCCTCTACCTAAAGCCTTTTTTGAAGGTCACGAAGGTTCTTGTTGAGCAAGTTTCTTCCTAGTGGCATAGGTTGCTCAATGAGAATGTCTCGCTCAACGAATCCTTTGTTTTGATGAAACTCTAATTTAGAAACTTTTTTATGTTCATATAGGATGATGTATTCGAAAGTTGCATGGATAATAAATTTGTATGTTGATGATGAGGTTTATGCTAAAGTGGCATATTGAAATAAATGTTTGTTCTTCCAAAAGTTGAAAATAAAGCAGATTAAGTTGTTTTCACTTTGTAAAAATCTCATTGTATAGGTTTAAAGTTGTAGTGCTTCAAGGAGTCTAATGTTAAAAATTATTTAGTTAGAAAGTTGCCTCCTGAAAAGAAATTGTTTTTCTAAAGTTATCTCCTCTAAATTCTATTGAAAATGGTGTAAGAGATGGGTTGCATAAGTAGTAAAGTTGAATGTTGAAAAATAGTCAAAGTTATGAGTTTGCTTAAATTTGTAAGTTGTTTAGTTAAGTGAATGTGAATGTTGATGTTGTATCAAATGTTGTTCATTCATGTTATTTTCATATATCTGTTATATGATGTTGCATTGTTTATCAAGCTTACCCTTATGTTTTCTTGTGTTAGACTATATTAATCAAATTAAATACAGGAGCAAGCTAGGTTTATGTTGAAGTTGCCTTATGGGTAATGGAAGGTCGTGTTCGGGGCTAACTGGAGTTCAGAGATGTGTTCTCCAATACTTATATAGTTGTTTTGATCAACCTTAGGACTTTATGTTTATGATATTGTACAATTCTATATTCAAGGATGTTGTAGCTCCATAAGGGTATTTATGTTTTATGTCGTCCAAGGAACTATCTTTTGTTGATTCTCGATATCCTTATATATTATGTATTATGTATGCATGAAATCCAGATTTTGTTTGCAAGAGAATCATAGATCGAAGATTTATGTGGTTTTGTGAAATGTATATCTACATTATAGCAGTGTTTATCAAACTTTTTCAAATAAGTTTTCTTTTTAAACTATATTTATTGATTAAATATTTAGTCAAGAAAGATTGATTTAAATAATAAGGATAAAATTATATATTATAAAGATGTTGATTTGAGTTTCTTTGTCAAGGTTAGTTTAAGTTTAATTCTTGACGTGAAGACTTTATTAAAATAAAAATTCTCAAAACTATTAATATTTAAGATTAGTATACATAAGTTAAAAATTGTTGAATACGTATAAAATTAAAATATTTAGTTTAAAATATTTTAATTTATTATAAGAGTCGCTTAAACAAATGTATCCACAAAATAAAAGTATAAAGAAGTTAATTTATATATCAATAATAGTCTTAGAATTAAAATACTAAAACATTAACATTTTTAGAACAAAAAACATTTTCTTCAAAAAAAATTAAAAATAAAGAAGGTAATTTATTTGTAGGAATATTTATAAACATTCATTTTTAAGTCTTTGAGACATTTTCTAACTTTAATGAGCTACTAAAATATAACATTCTAATAAACCTTCTTTTAATAAATAAAATATTTTAAAAATTCAACAATATCAAACTATTTGGTATGATAGATATGTAATAGGACAAAGTAACTCATAGCGTCTATTTGTGTTTTTCTCCAACCACTAAACAACTTTATAAGACAATTCATTATTATTACAAGAAATAGGTCATTTTAAGTTCAAAATATCACACCAATTAATGTTAGTTCCTTCGATCAAAGTGAATTTAACAATGACATTTATGTAACTTGAGTCAAAACAAAACAGAATCTGTCTTTTACTATTCTTGGAAATTCACTCGACCGATTCTAAAGAAATCTTCATTGAATGTAACTCAATTGTCTCATCAAGATTCATAAATTAGTTAGGCCCAACAAACCTAAAAGTACCAAAATACCCTTCCAAGAGATAAAACAAACAAGAAGAAAACAAGGATATCGTTCATTCTACTTTTTCTCTTTCCATCTTCAAAATCATAAATGCAAACCATTTTTAATGAATCATGGGAACGTTTCAAAGCTTCAGAAAAGCTTATGGAGCTCTCAAGGACTCCACCAAGGTTGGCCTTGCCAAAGTCAACAGTGAATACAAGGTGATATATTATTTCTCGATTATATGCATAAACATGCAAACATGCATACATACATACATATACATGTATATATGAATCTATATTATTTTTCTTGCTGTTTTTTAATTTTAATGTTTAGATGACTGAGTTCCATTATGTTTATGAAGGAGTTGGATATTGCAATTGTAAAAGCTACAAATCACGTGGAATATCCTCCCAAAGAACGTCATGTTAGAAGTATGATAAGATATAATTATCAACTTTTGTTGAATGTAAATGATGATTTTTATTTTTTTTAATATCACATGTGTCAGCATGAAACATGCTTTATGTAATCTCTGGATTAATCGATGTTCATTTTCAAAGCTTTGGGTCATCGATCTATATATGCTTATTTATTTTCCTTGCTACTATTACACCAAATATGTAGAAAGATTACCACAACGTCATTGTTAAGGTATAATAAATCTGATTTGTTTTTTCATGGCAAAACTTATTAATTTCTTTCACACTTTTATCTAATATTATATAATTTGCCTTAAATTTCTTTCACACTTTTACATTTTTTTAATATCACATTTGCCAACATGAAACATGCTTTATGTAATCTCTAAATTAATTGATGTTCATTTTCAAAGCTTTGGGTCATCGATCTATATATGCTTATTTATTTTTCTTGCTACTATTACACCAAATATTTAGAAAGATTACCACAATGTCATCGTTAAGGTATTATAAATTTGATTTGTTTTACCATAACAAAATTTATTAATTTATTTTACATTTCCATCTAATATATATAATTTGTCTTAAATTTTTTGTAGAAATATTCTATGCCACGTCAGCACACCAGCCAAGGGCAGATGTGGCATACTGCATTCACAAACTTTCTAAGAGACTTTCCAAGACACGAAGTTGGATAGTAAATCCTTTTCATGATACTTAGTAATCTTTTTAATATGACATGGTAGAATATTATAAGTGTTGAAATAGTTTTGTTACCTTTACTTTCCTTTCTATGTACAAACACTAACAAAAAATAATAAATAAAAAGGGAAAAGGAAGAAGAAAATAAATTATTAGAAAATATTATGTGTAATCAATCACGAATTCACACTTATATATAGTGTAAATATTATTTTTATTAATGATATATAGTAAACTAATGGGATACAACATGTTTATAAACTATCATTACATATCATATGAAAGGGAAGAGTAAACTCTCATGTATGGAGAGGAATTGTCCGCATTTTTAATAGAAAAATAATTTTCATTATTGTATAAAATTAATATGTAACTACGTAATGAAATAACAGGTTGCTATAAAGACATTGATAGTAATTCATAGAACTTTGAGAGAGGGTGATCCTACCTTTAGAGAGGAGATTCTTAACTACTCACGCAGGGGACATATTCTCCAAATATCCAACTTCAAAGATGACTCAAGTCCTCTAGGTAAATTAGTTTTGTAAATTAATTTGTTAAAACCATTTTGAAAATCTTGACCTTTTTTTTATTCAATATTATTTCATATTTTGTGACCAATTAAATTTCTCTTTGTAGCTTGGGATTGTTCTGCATGGGTTCGAACCTATGCATTATTTTTAGAAGAAAGACTTGAATGCTTTAGAGTTCTTAAATATGACATAGAATCTGAGCGTTTAACAAAATCATCACCCGCTGTAAATAAAGTGAGTACTTTGCCTTATTTTATTCATACTTTTTTTCAAGGATCACATTTTCCTATTCAAAATATCTCTATCATTTAACTTTGGCAGGCACATAGTAGAACTCGATCATTGGCTAATGATGATTTGTTGGAACAATTACCTGCACTACAACAACTTCTATATCGCCTTATTGGTTGTCAGGTATAAATGAATTTATGGGAATTTTTTTTTAGGTTTAATACCTATATTTTTTTTATGACACATACCTTACCATTGAATCACTATATTTCCTTAGTCTAAGTTGACATTTAATTTGTTTTGACATCTTGTAGCCTGAAGGATGTGCATACAACAATTATATAGTACAATATGCGTTGGCCCTGGTATGCATGTTTAATATCTGCACTCTTCACATAGCACTAATTAAAGCATCAACTCAGAAAATGTTAAGGAAAAATATCATGACTAGTTAATCAATTGAACTAATATTTGTCAACAAGGAACTATTAGAATTATATGAACAAAACTTATTAGACAGTTACTTTGGTAGTTTTAGCCTTGTTTACTTGTCAAAATTGGTTCTTTCTTTTTGTAACTTATATTGATCATTAATCTCAATCTTTGTACTCAAATTACCAATGTGAAGCTTATTTTCTAATTAGAGAATAACATATAAGAAATTACATATAAGCTTCGTCTAAATTGTATCCCTGTGATTTTTGCTACTAGATAATGTTACTTTTGAAAACAAGTCATTGAATAAATGGATTCTACACCTAAATAAAGATCGTATTGATTTAGTGGATTACAATATTATGTGGTGGAATTACTACACTAAGAGAAATTTATCTCTTATAATTCAAAATTGTGGTAGCCTAATTCTTCCTCAACATATTTAACTCCATAGAAATAAATGAATTTTTTTTATTATTTTTCAATGCATGTTTTTACATGGATTTGTGTCTCATTTTGTCAGTATTTGTGACTTTTGACAATGTTATTTAGGTTTTGAAAGAGAGTTTTAAAATATATTGTGCACTTAATGATGGGATTATCAATCTTGTGGACATGGTAATGTCCATCTCAATTTAACTTGTCGCTTGATCACTTTATTTGAATTTTAAATGACACTAACTAATGAAAATTTCAGTTCTTTGATATGTCAAGACATGATGCAGTGAAGGCTTTAAATATTTATAAAAGAGCTGGCCAACAGGTTTACAATGATGTTATTCATGATAGACATTCTTATTACTATCCAATATAAATTGAGTCTTGTATTCTAAGGTAAATGAATTTTGTTACAAAACTATGTAGGCTGAGAATCTTGCTGACTTCTATGAATACTGCAAAGGCTTGGAACTTGCTAGGAATTTCCAATTTCCAATACTAAGACAGGTTCATTTTGTTTGTTAGAGTAAACACCATGTTCTTGAAGAAAAGAATCTCATGAAACTTTTTTACTTTAATGAATAGCCACCTCCTTCTTTCCTTGCAACAATGGAAGAATACATTAAAGAAGCACCCCAAACAGGCTATGTTAACAAGAGATTGGTAAGAGAAAATGATGTACCAATTCATTAGAGTAAACTTGTGTAATATGCATGTTCTTACATTTGATAAAAACTAATGAGTCCAATTCAAATTTAAACTTCCTAATATTACAAATTGTAGGACTTATGATATACATTAACATGAAGGAATGATAAGACTCTATAAAACATCTTGACTATTAATAAGAAAATAGTTACTAATTAATTATACATTGGTTTCCAAAGTATTGGTTACCATTTTCCGATACCTATTTCACAATTTATTCTTATAACTATAATTAACTCAAACTTTATATCCACATTATTATTGTTTGGTGGTTTTGTCACTTATCACATGTCATTACCTTATTAAGGTTTCATTATTTGTTATAATTGAAATCATGGAGAAACCAATGCAATGAGGGTAAAATTGCTAATTGTTCATAAACAAACTTGCTCTAGTACTTTCATCTATATGTACTCTTACATGTGATTGCAATGTACTTGTATAATATGATTCATTAATAAATGTTTTTCAACACCAGGAGTATCAGGAAAATGATGAATCGCCTAAAGAAGATTCAGAATCTAATGAACCTGAAGAGCCTCAAGAAAATGAGGAACAAGCTGAGGAAGTCAATGAGGAATCACCAGTAATAGAAGAAGAAACACAACCTAAGGAAAAGGAAGTTGAGCCTCCTCCTTTGATATCAACAGATGATGCTATAGATGATTTGTTGGTATGTGTTGGTTATAAATAATGTTTTGTATGCATATTTGTAATGTTGACTTTATAGAGTATACATTTGTCCACCTTTGTAGGGTCTTCATGAAATAAACCCAAAAGCTATGGAAATGGAGGAAAGCAATGCTATGGCTCTTGCAATTGTACCACCCGGTGGTAAGGCCTAAAATAATTTCTAATTGATTGTTAAATATAAATTGATTTAGCAAAAGCCCTGTTGAAGATTGTAGTGTTTTAATGCATATCAGCATTTCAAAGTTTGAGAGATTTAACGTTTAATAATCAAAAATTTATATGAAAATTTAAAAAAGATAAACACAACTTGTGAAAAATATTAGAAACAATTTTTTTTAGCTTGTCGCATGAACCTTATATGATAAGATAGTGGATAGCTATAGTATAAATATTAATATTATATCAGTTATGTCATTTTTGTTATATGATTTTGTTTGAAATCCATGAGGCTTCACATGAACTAACTAGAACTTGAACATAAGAAACTTTAGATTTTCTTCTTTTTATGTCAATCATGTTTTAAAATTAATTAAATTATATTTGTTGTTTGGTACTTGATCCATTTCTAATTTTGAAAGTCTATGTAGGAAATAATCCAAACAATCTTGCCTTAAGTAACATTGAAGGGACAAATGGTTGGGAACTTGCATTGGTTGCAACACCAAGTAATCATACTAGTCAAGCTGTTGATCGCAAAATGGTTTGTTTCTCTGCCATACTATTATCAATTTATCAAACTTGAGATATCAATTTTTCTCTTAAATAATGATATTTGTGTTGATTAAATAATTTTTATCCCTGCATAATTAGGTTATACACTTTTACACTGGCCATTTATAAAGGCCTTTTTGAAAATGGATTTTAAATGTGTATATATCATATATAATCATGATATAGTATTGCATCAAGGTCATAGTGAATTGAGCTTTTAAGTATTTAGATAATAATAATAATAATATTTTACACCTTAATTTTTTACACAACCCTCAATTTTAATTTAGTACCTCATTTTTTACTATAAAAGGAAAAGTGTAGAATATTATAAAAAAATTAAGAGACTATTTGGTTTGAAAATATTTTTATTTTTATTTTGTTTCATGTTTTCAATAGTTTATATAAGGAATAGAGAAAATGGAAAATGGAAACAAAAATCAATCAAAAATTGGTTTCTATGTTTTTTATACAAACTTTAAAAAATGAAAATAAAAAATATTTTCTCAAACTAGACAATCCTTAAATATGCGAGGGAAATATTATTCTTATCTTAATGAGATTATAGACCATGATGCAAAAAAATAACACAATTCTCTTTCCCATTCTCTTTCCCTCCTTCACTATTGAGTCAGGCTGGTGGTTTTGACAAGCTATTATTAGACAGTTTATATGAAGATGAAAATGCTAGGAGACAACTTCAGCTCCAAAATGCAGGTTATGGACATGGGGAAGCAATGGACATACACAACCCATTTGATCATTATAATAACCAAAATGATCCATTTGCAATGTCTAAAAACATAGCACCTCCACCCAATGTGCAAATGGCACTAATGGCTCAACAACAACAACAGCAACAGCAAGAGCAACAAATGATGTTCCAACAACAACAACAACAAATGATGTACCAACCACATCAACACAACATGATGATGGTCCCTCACCAGCAACAACCATATAACCAATATCCTCAACAGATGCAAGGTTCAAGTTCTCATAATCCATTTGGGGATCCTTTACCCGTACCAAACTATTATCATAGTGCCATGCCCCAAGAGGGAAATTACAATTTAATGTAGAGTGTCTTCTTTGTCACCTTTCCCCACTGAATTTTTCACAGCAAAAAAATATATATTCTTATTGGTTGCAGTAGTATAACAATTTTTCATCATATTGATTTTTTTTAATTAATTATTGGCTAGTGAATAAACTTTTTTTTTTCATTTGAGATTATTGGTTGTTCATTTAGAAAAATTATTCTCTTATCTAGATTTACTACTAGTAATACACTTGCATCATTGCTTTTTAAGTATTCAGATAATTTTTGTGAAAATAAATATTACATTAAAAATCATCATGCATGTGGGATCAGTGAAAAATCGTTTAGCTTACATGTTTCACTAAAAAAAATGCATTCTTTTGAAAATTGAACTGAGTAGTGTAACTGATCTGATAACCAATAAAAATCAAAGCATCTCAAAACTAGTGCAAATCAATTAAGATTGATCCAAAGTAAGTGTAAAAATCAGTTTGAACAAGGGTTTTATTCAGAAAATTTTAATTTTTATAATTTAATTTGAAAAAATTAATATAATAATATGTATTTAATAAAAATTATAATTAGAATAAATTATTTTATCAATTATTTTTAATATTTTTCTTATAAAATATGAATTAATCATTTTTATTAATTTATAAGCTTTTTATATCTTGAGCTTTTATAATTTATATTAGGCTTCAATATTTTTTCACCCTTGGAATATACCTATTTTTCACTTTTTAATCCAGCTTTTTGCGTTACTTTTGATCTCTGGAACTTTTTTTTATTTGTAGTTTTTTTCATTGTTTTAATAAAGTGTCAAACATTTAAACACTATTTCAAGTGAATGTAAACATATTCACGTTTGAAAACAGTGAAAACAGTCGAGATAAGAACTAAAAATTAAAAATTATTAATGTTTCAATGATCACTTATTCAAAATTAATATTCATTATTACTCTTATTTAACAATAAATTTTATATTTTTGGGTTGATAACGTTGTAATAATATATCATATTTATTTTAAATTTTATTTTATATTAATTAATATTGATTGATTAAATTGATTATAATATAACAAATCAACAAATTTACTTTAAAATTTAATTTGTAACATTGTTAACATTTTAAGTTGATATTGTATTTATTATAAAGTATCAAATAATTTATATTTATTTTAAAATATTTAAATTTTTACAATAAATAAATAATTTTAATTGTATTAACCTGATTGATCTAATTCAATATAACCCATTCATGATCTGAATTAGGTTGAATTTTAAAAAAAATATATAAACCCGATCCAATCCAACCCATTAAATTTTGATCAAATTAAATAACAAATTCATCCAAATCCAATCTAACCCGACTCCCATGCACTCGTAAATTTAAAGATTAATAGATGAATACTCAAGAAAGGGACAAAAAAGTAAATTTTATAAAATTAAAACATTAAAATTGCAAAATTGAAAATTGAAAAATTATAATTATAGACTTAACATTATAAAAAGGATAAAATTACAATTTAATCTACTTTCTTTAATTCTTTAGCCAATTAGGCACAATCATTTATGTTATGCTTGATTCATGCAATAGTCATTCACACTTCAACTTACTTTTAGAAAAAATAAATAATATTTAATCAGAATTCAACATGTAAAAACTTCCACACTAATAACACATTCCTGTCAAACTCATTTTGAAAATCACTATGTTTAAACCAAAATATGAAGAAAGTATATAAAGGTCTCCCCAAATTGTTCCATTTCATAGCACAATTCTTGTTTGGAGGGATGCAGATAATCTTATCAACAATTTTTGTTTCTCAACATGTTGCATAGTGGCTTGCCTTTCAATGGGAAACTATTTCTTCGAAAACAAATTAACAGGCAGAGGGGGTTGAAAAGAAAAGATAGTGGAACTTAACTCCAAAGCTAATATGTGACTTCAAAATGTGTTCCCCCATGAAGCCCATTACAGTTTTGTACCCCAAAGAAATGTCTATTACAGTTATATACAGATCAATATAATATATGTGCAGTAAATTGAGCAAATGCTAGCTGTTTAGAGGAATATTCTAAAATGTCTTTGTTTTATTAGCTGGATAAATATATACATTGAGCCTACAAGGATTCAACCTAACATTGCAAATATTCAACATACACGGATAAACAGATCAATGTTGTGTCAAGTAGAGTGAGATGGGTTTAATCCCAAAACAACCACCAGTTCTGCACCTAAAGGAATTTCCATTTGCATGTATTGTCCTTTTCAATCCCCAGATAGCTTAGTTTTTTTTCCCTTTGCGTTTCTTTGGACTTCTCTATGAGCCTATGTTGCACCATGAAAATCCTGCAAAACAAGTGTTCAGCTTGGTATTATTACATGGGCAAACAATAAGATACAAAGATAATGTTCAAAATATACTATATGCATATTTTGAACTACAAAATCATGATTGCCAAAAGCTTTACTTCTCTTTCATCTTGAGATGTCCTCAGTTCCCCCAAACAAAAATGTAGGGGATTAAAGGATGTGAAATAAGCCATATTACGACCCACCGCAAAAAAGGAATGGAAAATAGTACAGATAATGAACATCGTTATATTAGACACAAGGCAAATAAAGATAACATCAGAACAACAAAACATCACTATATTTCTAAGGCATTCCTCATAAAATAGGTACACTATCATATACCATCAAAATTTAGAATCATTGTGCAGTATCTTGGCAGAAGTGTCAACCTAAAAATGCATAACATATTAGGGCAAGGTTATCAATAACGGATAACGGTCTATGGTGGTAAGCCAAAAATCTGCCATAAATATATGGCGGATGGCATGGCAGCTTATGGCGGTCGCCATGACGGACAAAAATAATATATATTAAAAACAAAACCAAAAAAAAAAAAAACAGACTTTTAGGATGCATGACTTTAGTGTTGGGTGCTTACTGCTTACCATTGTGCTATAAGTGAAACAAAATTGGGAACAACATTATAGGTTTAATATAGAAAACAACATAACAGAACATGATAATGAAATTCTAAAATATAGATAAATAAATTCCAAAATTTTGAAAAACTGAGAACAAAAACATTGAACAGATGAAGAACAAGAACAATCACATAAAATAAGAGAGAGAGAGAGAGAGAGAGAGAGAGAGATGATGAACATCTGAAGAAATGAAAAATAGATGGAAAAAAAACAGAAAAATAAAGAAATGGAAGGAAGAAGAAAAAACAAACAGAAAACAAAAAGAACTCTTATGGGTCACCGGATTTGTTGGCCGGAAAACTTTCTGGAGCTTAGGCCGCTATGGTTCAGGTTGTTGGAGGCTGGTGGCCTAAGAAGGCTCACCATAGTTGTTTGTTCGCAATTTAGGAGCTTCACAAGAGAAAAAAAGAGAAAAAAAAAAAAAGAGGATGAGGAGGAATTCCGCCATGAAGCCATGGCCAAGGCAGATATAGCAGGCGCCATGGCGGATATGCCAGGTTCCATGGCGGACACCGCTATATAACGGGAAATAACGAATAGCGAATGGCGGAGAGGTTCAAAAATGCCATGTTATACCTTTATGGTGGCGCCATAACGGTTATTTGATAACATTGAATTAGGGTAATTTCTTATTTTTGACCTATAGATCTGACATTTATTATGTTACTTATGATTTTGATATCTTTCCTTCGTTTTAGAGATTTTATCTCTGATAAAATATCTATTCTAAGGAAATTTGCATTTTATTGAGATTATGTATCTAAATAGGATTTATCTAGGTCCTTTGTTATCTTTGGGTTACCATTTTGGTAGCATAAGTTATTCAGACTTTGCATATTGATGATTATTGATATTTTGCTTTCCTTCATAAAAGAAAGCAAAGCACTTTTCAGTCAGGGAAGTAACCTGACCTAAGGGCATACTCTTCATTACCCTCCTACATCACATAATTGCTGCAAGGATATGCATATAAAGCTGAGCAATAGAAGAAGAATGAAAGAAGCTATAACACATTTTAAAATTATCATCTTCATATGTTCCATTCTTTTGAATTCCATCTCTGATCTCTCCTCCTTTTGCTTTTGCTTTCAAAACCATGCATTAATATTACATATAGGCAGGTTATATAGTAGCACATATTATCAGAAACTTTTAAAATTCCTCCTCTACCCTGCCCCTCTTATTTTTTACATGAGATGCATTGCCTATGTTACCTATCAAAAATCCAAAAGTTTATTTACTTGCACTGTATAATAATGTTCACAAATAAAGGCAGAAGCACAGAATAAACTTCCAAGCTAAAGAAGAAGCTTGCTCACCGCAGCAACTGGCTTAACTAAATTATGGATCATCCCTCCTCATCCTCTGATTGAGCTACATTTTCTGAAAATGTCAGAACCTTCACTTTCACAGTCCCCTCCATCCCGTCTGGACTCTTTATCTCCATATCAGTATTCTCACCATCAGTAGATTCATTCTCTGAAGCCAAAAATACAGCACATTTAATTGTTTGAGCTTTTAAATCACAAAATTTTCAACCGCCCCAAAGTGCAAAATGTTTAAGTTGTTTCATCTGCAGTCCTCAATGTCAAATATTTAGCCTTACAATGAACCTAATGTTCAATTCAAATCAACAACTTCTTACACAAGTTAGAAACCTATGAACAGAAAAAAAAATATATGAACACTCTGATCCTCGGAGGTTCATTAACTGATTAGCAATGGCCATTAGAGTGCATTGGCCGATCCACCCACTCATAAGCACATAACCGTTCATACATTGCCAAGAAGGCAGAACACCATCATATTGCTTTTCATTTCAGTTTCTTTTAACACACAAATGACACAATCGCATGCATCCCACCAGCTAATTCAAGCTAAAACCTACACCAACACCAATAATTATTTCCCATTCCCCAACTATCACTTTTCACAACCCCTCTCACCAACAAAATGTAGAAGAATCTGATGAAACACAAACAAAATTCCAATTCGAACGAGTTGCACTCAAATTAAGCCGCTTGAAATAGAATGCGCAATCAGCATTAGAACCATTCGCTTGCACCTTTTCAACCAAAAATCATGCCTACAAACCTTTCATATAAATACGCACCCCCGCCCCACCCATAACCAAAAGAGGGAGAAAAACCATTCTAGTATATACGGTAAACAAAACACCCAAATCAATCAATCAATAAAAAAATAAAAAAACACCCCTGTATTTTCCCCCTTACTAGAGCAATTTAATTCATTCATTCACCCAGTTACACAACAAACCAAAAAATCAAATTTTGCGAAAGGGGTGAGTGGGGTGGTTACTGTTTAGTCATAGCCACTCACCATTGATGAAGAATCAAGGCAGCCACACCCCCAAACCAATCCATGAAACAGAAGATCACAACCATGCCTCTCTTCGATTTCCCCGAAGAGAAAACCCCAAAACACAGACCCAACAAAAAAAAAAAAGCAATTTTATTTATTTTGATATTTATCATTTGAGTCCCTAATTGACCCAACTAGACCAAAATGAAAAAAATAGAATTTTTGGCCGCTGACGAACCATTGATGAAGAAATTAGAGGAGGGCCATCCGCGGAGCGTGGAGAGGAGAGGGGAATCGTGTGGTCGATGGTCTTCGTTCGTTAGCTTGTGGACGAGGTCGACGACGTTGGCGGGCGATGGCCGCGGCGGGACCCAGAAGGAGGATCCCGGCACGAACGGTAGCCAGTCCGGTGTGGCCTTCTTGACCAGGATGCGCTGGATCAGGTCGTCGAAGTGCTTCAGCGCCACGTCGTACTCCGCCATGTCCACCTCCGCCACCTGCGGCTGCGCCTTGCTCGACCGCCGCCGCACCGCCCCCGCCAGCGACGGCATCCGCCCCACCGCCTTCGCCTTCCACAGGAAACCCAACATCATCGTCATGATTTGATGAGAGAGAGAGAGAGAGAGAAAAAGAGAGAGAAAAGGGTTTGGTTTGGTTTGGAATGCGAAATGAATGCGAGAGTGTGGCTTCAGGGGGTGTACGGATGGATGAAAGGAAAAACCGCTACGCAAAGACTCCTTATTATATTAATATCCAATCAATCTTAATCTTAACGGCGTTATTTAAGGTTTAACCATCTCCACTGATATTTATCCTCAATGTCCTTAGACTTTCGTCCTTTGGCGGTGGAGATAAAACCACATATAATATTCCTTCTACTTTTTTTTTTAATTGATGTTTAAGATTAGAGTTAATTATTTATTTACTTTTTTTAATTATTAATGTAAAAAAAATTTACACGGATAACTAATTATGTTTTTGAATTATTTCATGTTACTATTAAAAATAAATATATTTATAGTGATATGGTATAATTAAAAGATATAATTGATTGCTAGTATAAAATAACTTTATACTGTAGTGTATAGATGATTAACTTATAAAATTATGTAGAATTAAAAAAATAATTGATATTTTAATTTTTAAAATATTTATTATTTATTTTCTTATTATACTCTTTAAATGATTAAAAAAGAAATATCTACATTAAAAAATAAATAAATATATTGTCTAATAAATATACATTAATTATCAAGAATAAAAATAAAAAAATTTATTACTTAAAAAAATAATTAAAAAAATGTTAAAATGACTATAAAAAAATGAAAAAAAATAATTATCAATAATTCTTATTTTTTATTTTTTATCAGTCATATTTACAATCTTTCTCTTAATTTAAAGCCTTTATTTTGAGAAAAATATTATTTTTTTAATTTTTTAAAATAAAAATATAATAGTTAATAAAATATAGTGATTAAAGTGGTTACTAAAAAAAAGTATTCTCTTTATATATTAATATTTATATATTAATATAGATGGTTATTAAAAAAAGTATTTCTTTATATATTAATATAGATATATAGTAATTTGGGTGATTCAATTAATTTATATTGTACTAATTAGTTAGAAATTTAGAATTCATCCTCCTTTGAGAAAGTTGGGTAAGGGAAAATTAGGATAAGATAGACTGAAATTTTTATTTATCTTTTTCTTTTCTATGGAAAGCAACGTTGTATGTAGAGAATGGGACAAAAGAGAAACATGAGAATGCATGTGACAAGACAGCGAGGGATGAAGGATGAAATAGTTTTATAAATTTATGTAAGCCATTTACGCCCTATTTTTTTTTATTTCATTAATTGATTTTTAGGAGTTTTGGTTTTGTTGATTTGACATAAGTTTCTTAAAAATATCTGTTTTTCAGATGTTTTGAACAATTTTGCTAGGCCATCAAGAACGTTTATTTTTTTTCTTCATCATTATATATAGTGTAAAGATATTTTTGGTTCTTTGCAATTTCTTTGATGAAATTTAGTGATTTTTTATTTTAAAATTTTTATTTTTGTGTTTTATGTGATTGATTTAATAAGATTTTTTTTTACATTTTCTTCTTATTGAAATAGATATTTTTTCATTTTAACTCACTCTAATAATTATCTAATTATGTAAAATTTAAAATTACTAAAAACTTTTTTATAGTAATTTGTTTAGTTATTTTAATCATTTTTTAATTTAACAAAATTGTCTAAATTAAAAATTTTACATATGTCCGTTACAAAAAAAAATACCAGAGTATTTACGATGTTTATAAATTCCTTTAGTAGAAGAAAATTCTATTATAAAACTAATTTTAATTTATTAATTTATCTAATATTTTAAATTTTAAATTGCAAACATGTGAATTATAGAAAGAATCACTATAATAATTATAATATTCATAAATTATTTTCACAAAAAGATAATTTTATTATAAAAAGTTTAATTTATCAAATTATTTTAAAATTTTAAATATGTTAGTTAAAAAAATATTCATTAGAATAATTACAAGATTTGTAAATTATTTTTACTAAAAAATAATTCTATTGTAAAATATTTTTTAATTTATCAAATTATCTAAAAATTTAAAAAATATTTTTAAAATATGTCAATTACAAAACAATCACAAGAGAAATTATGAGATTTGTAACTTTTTTTTTACGGAGGACAATTCTATTATAAGAATATTAAACAACTAAACTAAACTCAAAAACTTAAACCTCAAAATCATAAAGTCCAAAACTTTATATTTTTTTTTTTCCAAAACTTTATATTTTTTTTTTATGAAATAGGAGACTTAAAACCTAATGAAATTACTAAAAATCATGAGGAAAAGTTACAACAGATTTATCTGCAAGTAGAGAAAAATAAATTCAACTAGGTAGAGAGTCGAAACAAACAATACCATTAGATAATGAAAGACCAAATTTAGCAAGATCATCAACTACTTGATTAGCTTTCCTAAGAATATGAACACAAACTAAATTATGAATGTCACCCGCCATTCTAACAATATGGTTTACTAAAGAATAACAAGGATTATCTTGAGAGCACCCATCATTAAAAAACTTGACCACTACAGCTAAATCCGATTCAATAATAAGATCAGCCTCGATTCCATGTTCCTTGATTAACCGAATGCCATGAAAAATAGCCCAAAATTTCGCTTGAAGAACAGAGCAAGCTCTAACCACTCCTAAATATGCAAAGATAAAATTACCAAGATAATCTCTAAGTACACCTCCACAAGTTGCCAAACAAGATGTGGTCATAGCTCCATCACAATTGAGCTTTAAAGCTCCATTCTCTGGCCGAATCCAGCTGATACAAGGTGCAACTATCTTATTAGCGCAGATCGTTATAACATTAAAATCTTCTCCCCTACGAATTGTACTAACCCGACCTTGGATCTCATACACCATTTGGCAAGGATTAAACTGGATTTGACTAAAAATAGCCATATTCCTAGCCTTCCAGATTGAATCCAAGGCCAGTGCAAACATGGTAATCCATACCTAGTTTGGAACATTCAAATTTCCCCCCAGCCACTGTTGCAAGTTCATATTATAAAAATCACTATGTAGACTTTTACTTGATAACCAATTCTAAATTGTACTAATGAGAGTACAATCACGAAGGATGTGAAGAGTTTCACGAGCTACACCACATAAAGGACAGCTAGCATCTGTCGTTAAACCTCTTGAAAGTCTCCATGCATTTGAAACTAAAGTATCATGAGCAATTCGTCATAACAAACATCTAATACGCTCAAGCCCTTTCCATTTCCATATCAAAATAAAAAGATTACGTGGTCTAGAGACTGATTGAGACCAAGCCCCTTCATAAGCAAATTTAATTGAGGAGTGACCATCTAGAGACCCTCCCCACACCATAATATCTATGTCGTTATTAGAGGAAGGAGGTCCAACACCTTTAATCTCAAGCAAAATTTTGTCCGGAAGTAACTCACAGATTGAATCTAAGTTCCAATCTCCATTCCCATTTAGATAATCAGCCACTACTTTACTCTTTTCAAGTAAGGGAACCGAACCTATTACCACATTAACAAGTACTTGATGAGAGGGTAATCAACAATCTATCCAAAACTTCACTATTCTATCATCACCAATATTCCAAGCAATAAAAGGTTTAAAATCTTCCCAGACTGAACAAATTCCTTTTCAACAGTTTGAAGCTAAATGCTCTTTTATTGATTAGTGAAATGATATCATTTCCACAACCATACTTTTCACCGAGGATTCTAACCCATAGTTTATCTGCCTGAGAGCACAACTGCCAACAATTTTTCATCATGTAGCAGAAATTAACCTTTCGTGATTCCTTTAGTCTTAGACTACCCACAGCCTTAGGGCGACAGCTAGTTTCCCAAGCAATTGCTTGAATTTTGCGTTGACTTTCAGAGTAGCCCTAAAGGAACGCTTTGCAAAATTTGTCCATTTCATCGCAAACCTGTTTGGGTAGAAGAACAATTTGCATAGTATATGACAGGATAACCGCTAGTACAGATCTGGTTAGAGTAAGACGCCCTGCATAAGATAAATTCTTTTCCTTCAAAGTACTCAACCTACGATTAACATTATCAAAAACATAGATTGTAATGTGCGCCTATTCACTCTATCATGGTGAAGCTGAACACCAAAATATTTACCCAAGTTATCAGTTCGTTGAAATCCAAGAGATGAGCTTATCTCATTCTTAACAGACTGGCCAACATTTTTAGAGAAGAAACCCGAGTTTTATCTTTATTAATTTTCTGCCCTCAGCTTTTACAAAAGAGGTCAAAACATGTTTGGATAATCTCAACTTGATCCATAGAAACTTCCAAAAATAGAATTAGATCATCAGCAAAGGTCAAATAGGCTAGGGAAGGGCCTTTTTTAGAAACCTTAATTGGTTTCCAAAGTTTATGATTCACAGCAATATCAATCAAGTGGAACAATCTTTCCATACACAACACAAAAATATACATGGATAAAGGATCACCTTGGCGTATACCTCGAGAAGGCTTGAAACTTTGTAAGGCTTCACCATTCCAAATCACTTGCATTGGAGGAGTATATTTACATTCCTAAACCACATTGATGAAAACTTGAGGGAGACCTATGTCAGATATGATGTCTTTGATAAAACTCCAATTCAATCTATCATAAGCCTTTTCAAGATCAATTTTTATTACCATCCAACCAAATTTACCTTTCTTATATTTCATAGAATGAACCACCTCCTAAGTAATAATAATGTTATCTGTAGTCTGATACTAAGTTAGGGATTTTAACCTCTGACTTCGTAATTTACTCGGTTAATCATTCAACTAAGATGTGGTTTAACTAGTTCCATACCAAAAACCACATAGACCCTAGAAGGAAGTAACTTAAAAAAATACAACTTAATTCACCTCTAGCATCTATGTATCTCAACTTAGACATCTATCTCAACCACATGTCCACAACTTTACCACTTTATACAACATACAACTTTACAACTTTCAACTTTAAATAACTAAACAGTTTAACAACTAAACCAACATCAACCTCAACTTAACAACTTCAATTACAACATAATAAATATACAACAAACAACTTACAACGTAACATCCTTAATCCATTTATCAACTTACGACATAGGCATTCATCATCATGTATCAACATACATATACATCAAGATTTCGCAATCAAAGCAACATGCAACCATACATCAAGAATTCACCATGAGCTAGAGATTCATAGCTTCAAAACCCCTTTTGTTAATTTCATCAAGAGGAATGGGGAAAAGCAACAAAGCATTTGTTGCTCAACATCGGGAGTAATGCTTAGCCTCAAATTCTCTATCAACCTAATGTTCAGCATCAGGGAGTAATGCTCAATCTCAAATTCTCTATCAGCCCCAATGCTCAACATCGGTAGCAATGTTAAGCCTCAAGTTCTCTATCAGTCCAATGCTCAACATTTTAAGCAATGATCAACATCATAATCTCTATTAGTCCAAATACTCAACATTGAAAGCAATTTTCAACACGAGATCAGACAACCACTCAATCATTCAACTCCAAAATTTCAATTTGACACATGGAACTTAAAATCAATTGCATTCAACATCAAATTTCATATATATGCAACATTTTCAACTCATTTTCAACCAAAAAAAAAAACAACACATGCAACAATCAAGACATTAAAAGTATCCATTTTTGCTCTACCTACCCAAGAGAACATCAAAACCCCAAATCCCTTTTGTGACCCACAACTAAACCAACAATACAACATGAAATTAGGAATTTCAAAAGGTATCAAATAACATGCATACCACATAATCATCTAAGAAGGAAATAGGGAAGAAGAAGCTCCGCACAGATCCAAACTTGGCTTCGCAACACAACTTTAGGAAGAACTCTTATAATTACTCACCAACTACACAAAGAAAGGGAAAAAGAAGAAGATTTTTAGGAATGAGAAGAAAGAGTTTACTCGTCTTACACTAATTCTGGCCAACTGAACATAATCATGAGACCCCTTCCACTAACCTAAGTGTTACATTTGTTATAATTTTTTTATATAAAATAATTTTTTCTTACATACTACACAATTAAAATACTACTATCCAATGCGATTAATTATGTGAAAATTTACAACTTAAAATTTAGTTCTTAAATATAAAAACTAAATTATAACTTGAGGTTTGAAATAAAAATAAAAGTGATTAACATTATTATCTTCATCTAAATAATAATATATTTTTTATATTCTTTTTTCTTATCTTATTATTTTTATATTTATAGTCTTAACAATATATAAGGGAGATTTTTTTTTTTGGTGTACATATATATAAAAGAAAACAAAAACGGGAAAAGAACAAAAACAAACTACACTTCTGAGTTAGGAACACCCAAAAGGGTACTTTCCTTTGCTCTCCATTTTTTAAACATTTATATATTTTTATTATATTTTAATTTTTCTTATCAACATATCTCTTAAAGATAAAATAGAAAAAAATATGTATAAAAAATTATCTACTCTATCAATAAATATAACAAAAATAATTATTACTCACTCTATCAATAATAAAAATTTATTTAATTTTTGTCTCAATTTTTCGTTTAAAATTATTTTACTTTTTATTTTCTATACATTATTTCAATTAATTTATATTTTATAATCTCTATTTATTTGATTTTATGCTAAAAATTCCTCAAGTTTGGATATTCATTCAAAAGATCAATTTTTTTTTCATCATATATATTATTTTTCATTAAACCCCTAATTACATACTAGAAGAAAACCTAGTTACCTATCTATTTATTTACACCTAAACAAATGAAACATAAACACATGGAATGAGTAATGTAACACATGTTACATGTCCTTCTGTGATTGGTTGGTACACGAAGCTAGTACTCAACAAGTCTTGTATATAAAATTGGCACAACACAACACAACTGGTGTCGAATAAAATCTCAATTTTATTTCATTCATTAGACCCAAACACTGAGCGGATCAACAATGGCGGAAACCGAAAACCCTTCCGAAACGGTGCCGTCCAGTTCACAACCTTCTTCTTCTCAGAAATCGCCCCAAGATTCTTCCCAGGTTCCATTATCTACTTCAATTCCACTTTCCCTTTTTCTACTCTTCGTGCCTTTCATTCCTCTAATGCGCAAAACCCCCCATTTTTATATAATTGGTGCATAAACTAGGGTTATTATTATTAATATTATAGCTATTATTATTATTGTTCATTTTTTCTCCTTTCAAGTCTGTAATTGTTTGATTTCTTAGCTGATAGACCAGGACCATTATCGTTGTCATCGAATCGATACGTGGTGCTTTTCGGGCGTGAAATCCGTGTTATTTTCCCCCCTTTTTTTAGAGATAGGAGCTACCGGAACACAATTTTGAGCGAAATAGAAAATGTTGAGATGGGTTTCGTTGGGCCTTGTTTGTGTTAACAACCTAATTTAAAAATCTGTGCTTTCATTTGTGTACATGTTTTGAGCCTGCTGTGTGAAGATGAAGACACACGTGAATGAAAATGTGCCCTTATTTGTTGAATTAGCTTTTAAAATTCATGTATCTGAATCGTGGTCATGATTTTGTGAGGATATTGTTGTCTCAGGTACCTGCATTTTCGAATTTTCAGCCTTTTCCAGGTGGATATTATCAAATGTTTCCTGGTATGTACCCTGCGCTAGTTCCAGGGTTAAATATGCCGCAAAATGAGGAACATGGGAACCGTGGAGCTGGCATATATGCTGTTCCTGTTAACCCCTTTGATAGACAAGTTACTGGACTTCCTTACAACACTCTGATTCCGCTGACTTACCGTACACCTACGTAAGTGGCTGGTTATTTTGTTATGATGATATTTTGATGTATGTGACACTTAGTTATTGCATAATTTATGTTTCTTATGATAATATTTTAGCATTTTCTTCCACATGGGTATATTGGAAATGAATACCTTTTCATAGTTTGTTTCTCTTAATCATTTGGGTGAACTATAATGTTTCTACTGACTTGCAATCTCAAATTGGTCACAGAGATTGGTGCATAAAAGAACAATAATTTCTTGAATTGCTAAAATACAAAACAACAAAATGTTGAAATGACATTATTTACCGTAGGGAGGAAGTTGTGACTTCTAGCATTGAGTTTAGTACGCAGCTGTTGAATTTACACCAAGTCAGTTATGATGGTTATAAGACATGGATGGATTTGTAGGGTGTCAGAATGACCATGCACAAGTTCTCTTTTTTGATAATTATTTTTTACTTGATTCCATCTAATCTGCCCTTCCCTTTCTTCTGTCTGGAATCAAAGGTAGATTGATTGAAAGGATATTGTTGGTGTGTAAAGGCACGGAGTCTTGGAAATAAAATTAGGGTTAAGGGTAGGTGTTCATTTATTTATGTGAACAGTAACTATGGAGACAGGTTTAGTGATAACTCAAGCAAGAAACCATTAGGGATTTGATGGGGCGGATTTTGAAGACAGTCTGCTACTCTGCCATGAAAGTTTGGTATAGGAAATGAAGCAAAATTAAAGAAAACAGAATTGTAGCTGATAACAAGAAGAAAGCCTCCTCACAAGTCACACCTAGTGTTTGTGTCTGGTTGACCATTAATTAGCAATTTTCTGAAATCTCACAATCTGATCTACGAACCGAAAGAAAGAATTGACTTTTTAAGTAGCCATCCTAATATTTTGTAGGATTTCAAACAATTAATTGAAACAAGTAGCCATCCTCATAACCAATTCAACCTTGGTGTACAAATTAATTTTTTGTGCATAGAACCTCTCTGACAAATTGGAAATAAACTTGGTTAAAGATCTCCATACCTCTGTTTATTAAGAAATTTTTTCACTGTTGTCAAAACTCTGTTTCATAGTCTACACAATCAAGCTTCTTCTAAAGTCTTGGTTTAGCACATGCCTAACACTGGGAACCCTTTCTGGGACTTCTACGTATTAGGGATGTTTTTGTAATTTTTCCAGTACTTAGGTTAGTTTTTCAGCAGACCATGACCTGAACTGTTATCAGAATGGTGATCTCATCTTATTGAGGGATTCTATGTCTTACATTGAATCAGTGTTATCAATTGTGGATTGTGGAAAATGGCGGAAAGCCAATAATCAGCTATATCATATAGCGGATAGCATATCGGGTAAATAGTGGAAGTTGCTTCGTAGTTAAAATATATGATATATATCAATTATATATGTATAAAAATGTAAGCTGTATGCAAATAAAATAAAATGCATACAAACTGACGTAATATTAACTAAAAACACCAATTAGCTGTAGACTTGGTAGAGATGACTAGAGGATGTAGGATACACGCTGCAAACATGACACCATAGTGGCCACTATAGCGGAGGGAGTCATGATCGTGGATTAAAGGAATTCTTCAATGTAATAACGTTAGAGCGTCACTATAGTGGCTATTTAACAACACTGCTTTGAATTCTGGTGCTTCTTATCAAGTCTTGGTTTAGTGAAGACACTGTTGCTCTGAAGAACTACAAAAGTCCTTCAAGAATCTTCATTCAAGCTTTTTGTTTTCTTTATTAAACATGGAAGTTGTGGAGGGGAAATCCAAGCATGATAACATTGAGAAGGCACAGAACCATGTGACGTATGCTTTTGCTTTACATCCTAGTCCCAAGAAAGTATTCAGACCTGCTAATCATGTGCTCCCTAGCCCTGTCTTCTATCTCATGTTTTACTGAAGGCATAGGAAGGCTGACAATCTGAAAATGGCATGTCCTACCGAAGGGAGGGGGTTGGCCAAAATCTGAAACAGTTAGTATCAAGTAAAACTACTATAATTAGATGGATTGAAATAACAATTACAAGTGAACTGGATATGCAAGCTATCTCATGGGACATTGAAAAAAATGTTAACTGATGAAAAAAAATAATGGGATTACTCCACATTTTATTTTGTAGCTGGCTACGAAATGCAACATAAGTGTAGTGTATGCTGTATTAAACCTTGCATTCTCAATAAACAGTTTGGTTTAGCTTTTTTATGACAGTTAACAATGGTAAATAGTATGATATCTAATGTTGTTAGTTATGCAGTTTTCTCAAGCCCAATCATATTGATAATTGAACATTTCTGATGGGATAGAGCTGTATCAGGAATATGAAAACTCAATTTTTGGTTTTGAGTAACACTGGATTTGTTTTGAAGATATCTATTTTTACAAGACTTTTAGTTAGAAGATTCTAAAAGAGAACAAAATATGGATTTTGAACTACGAAAACAGTAAAAGAAAATCTTGAAGTGACCACAGGAAGGCGTTGAACTAACTCAAACAGAAAAGGACCTGACAGTAGTGAAAATGATAAATTTGGTTTTGATATTTATGCCCACCAGTTTCATTTAGTGCTTGTTTAAATTATAAACATAGATAGCAATGGTTTTATAAGTGAAAATTATATTTTAGCTTTATTTGTTTTCTTCGTAAGCAAATATGTTAATTAATGGTTTCTGTTACTGAATGGTCACCATTAGTAGTAGGCCAAGTTCTGAAGCTGCTGCTGCCAGTGAAAATCAGGGGCAAACAGGATAGCAACAGCAAGCTCAACAGCCGCAGCTTGCACCTCAAAGACAGGTTGTTGTCAGAAGATTTCAAATTGCATTTCAAATTGATTTGTTTCTTATGTTGAAGCTGGCCGCTGTGATCTTTTTGTTTAACCAAGATGGATCAAGGGAGAGGCTTGTTGTTCTCGTGTTCTTTGCTGCTCTTGTATATTTGTAAGTATTTACTCTTTTTTTTTTTAAATGTTTTCTGCTTGCTGGTGCTGCAGGTTTTAGGACTTAACCAGGAAATGCTTCTGATATAAATCCCCCACCCGCATCTTCTCTTTTCTTTATATAGCCAGGGTTTTTTTAGTTGGACTTTGCGTGCATGTGTGTCAGTATCAAGGACATGCAAATGTGCAATAACGTTAATATTGCTGAACTCAGTAGTCAGTACTGTATAGGTTGTGAATGAAAGCTGTAGTATTTACTAATTGAGATGTGTGACAGATACCAAACTGGAGCTTTGACACCGATTATAAGATGGCTTTCCCGAGGTATGCAGAGAGCAACAACACCTCCTCATCATAGCACCAAGACCTGCAGCCAGGGCTGAGAATGTTCCTGCTCCCAGGCAGGAGGGAGACAATGCTGCTCCAGCAGGTATGTTTCGTACATTTTATGCATATGATTTTACATGTGCTTGTTTTGGGAAACACTACTGATAGAGTTGATGTGATGATTTATGATGTAATTTGTGATATCTTTGCTTCGTGGAAGCTTATGGGGTTCATTTTATATGCTTTATTTATTAATTTTCTTCATGTTAAATTTCATTTTTCAAATTCTTATGCTGGTTTTGTATGGAAAAGTATCAAGTTTTGATCACATATACACAACACAATGTCACACATGCTTACCATTGCTTCTTATATTTTCAAAGAGGGTCAACCTGAAGCCGAGAATGGGAACCAGCCTGCTAATGATGCAGACCGGGCAGTTGAGAATGAAAATGTTGCAGGACCTGACAGAGTCAATGGTGGGAATCAGTGGTGGGGCATTGTGAAGGAGATCCAGATGATTGTCTTTGGATTTATCACTTCCCTTCTCCCTGGATTTCACAACCATATGGATTGAACTATATTTTGTAGCTTATGAAATTGACATATGGCCTATGTGAGCTTGCCAGAGACATGGGTAGAGGGTTTTCTGAAATAAAATGTATAGCATCAGAAGTTCCAAGCGTCATAACTAATCTATACATAGTTAGGTGCAACTATATTCCAGCGGAAAGTATGGTGCAACTATAGAGTGCCGTTTTTGTATCATTACTTGGATTGTTGATAAAAACAGTTTTTGCGGCTTCTACAGCGCAGGTTTCTACCTCACAGGGGCTTTGGTTTTGTTTAGCTCCCAGTACTGTTTTTGATTGCAAGTGCCTGATGACTTGGTTCTTTTCAAACTCTACGATCTTTTCAAAGTGACTAATGATTTTCAGGTCATCAATCTCTCTCCAAATTGTCTCAAGTTAACATTAATGGAGAGCAATTCACAAGTCTGCATGTTTGGAACTTTTGGGTGCTGTAAGTATTTTTGGTGAAGGTTAATCTTTGTATTTTTGTTTTTTGTTTTGAACGTACTTTTGGAAGAAGTGATGATGACTATCCAAACATAATTGGACTGAACGTTGAATTTCACAATAAATGAAAAAGAATTATATTATAACTCAACTTGATATACTTATATCGATCCTTAATGTATAAAATGCACTATAATTTTAGCTGGAGTTCCCAAATCTCATCTGCTTGATATTTTAGTCTATGAATTGATATAAACGGAAGGGCTGTAATGGAATGTTAAGTGTTTTTTTTTTTTTTTTTTCATTTGATTCCATCAGTCTAAGTATTTTTTTCATAACTCCCGAACTGGGGTTTATGAGATGGAATGGCTCTTTTCCATTAAATTGTAAATTTATCATTTTACTCTTACTAATACAATAGAAACAATCACCATATCAACATTGAGCGTTACAAATAATAATGATTTGTATGTTTTAAACAAATTAATTAAAACTTGAATTTTGATTTAATATATGAATAAATTATGTTTTGACAACGAATATTTTATACTTATGTTATAGTAATAATAATAAAAAATAGAAGCAACAATCTTAATTTGACTTCGTGTACAATGTGCTCTGTTATCTTCCTGCACAATTTAAGCTTTTTACACAATTTTTTAATGCAGAAATCTTCAAGCACAACATATTCTATTCTTCTTAACAAGGTTTAAATAGCATATACTACGCTTTCAATGACTAGCGATATATGCAGTGGTCCAGCAAAAGGGTACTTACACTTGACATAAGCCCAAAAGTCTAACATTTTTCAATCATAGTTTATATTATAATAGCTTTGAATACCAAACTTGCTAACTACTTTTGTTTGTACTGTATTGTAGTGCAAAAATACCTGTCAATCTTGTTTGCCATATGTAACATTTGTCAGTAAGAAACTTTAACGGATATTGACTTGATGTGGCTATCACTATACATGCCATGAATATTCAACATCATAATTATTCTACGATAACAATAATTTTCTCTTGATATCTGTATTGATAGTTGGTTTTCTTTAAAAAATTTCAAGACTTTGACAGGTTTCATGTTTTTAAAAGAATTTCACGAAGAGAAGTGATTAAGATATATACAACTGCAATTTATATTTTTAAGATAAGGGTAATATAGAAATAAATAATAATTTATTTTGCTCCACTTATAGTCCAAATAATAAAATGATTGTTTTTAGCATTCATCATGATATATCCAGATAATGAAAAGATTGTTTTTCTCCAATTCATAATTAAAAAATAGATCTCATTTTATTCAATGGAATAAAACGGATTTTGTTTCATTCCATTATAATATATTCAAACAATGGAAATAGATTTATATTCCATTATATTTTATTCTATTCCATCCCATTTTTTTTTGTAAAATTAAAACACTGCCTTAAAGATATGTCAACCAAAACTAATGAGCCTGACACAATCTTCATGGGTTGTCTTGTCCACAAATTCTCGGTCTAAAACAGTTTCACCTTCGACTCACGATATATACACACCTCTCAATATTAATAATATATATATATATATATATATATACATACATATATATATCTTTCTCTTTTTGATGGTGACAAACATGTTTTTGAAAAGAGAAAATTTTAAGTGCAACATATCTTATTTGATTTCAATTTATCAGATAAATGTTTCTTATCAAAGCATATATATATATATATATATTAAATATTCTTAATATTTTATTTTTTAATTTCTCCATTTTTCAGGATTTTGAAATTAAAATTTTAAAATTCTAATTTTTTTTTTCAAAACAAGATTTAAACATTCTTGTGCTCCATTCTTTTGACATGCACTGTCACCTAATTTTTGTAACATTAATCTTAGAAGATGATTGATATAAAGAAAGTTTTTAATTTCTCAAAAAATTTGATATTAGGAATATTAGTTTTTCACATTTAGTTTGTTATTTAAAAAATAATATCCTTAGAAAATATTGTTTCTTGATAATAGTTTTTGCATATGTTTTCTATGAAATTATTCTTACAAGGAGGTGCAAAATTAACTTTCTCGAGATAAAAATAAAAATACAGTCAAAATATCATACTATCTTTATTTACTATTTAATACAATAAAAATGTCATGTTACCTTTCTTTACATATTTCTAAAAAGTATCCAAGAACACTAAATAATAAGAAAGAGGATGAAGGAAGGGGTGAATGAAAAAGATAAAAATTTATTAAAGATAAGAAATTAATTATAATATTTTAATATTTAAAAATGGGTCATATGTACAAAAAGGAGGTAAATATATATTGAACTAATTATTTACTAATAAAATCAATCTTTAAAATTAAATGTTTGAAATTCTAAAATGCAGGATGCATATTAAAGGAGTAACATGCTTGAAAAAAACAGAATATTAGAGATAAGGGGAGCAAAAAGGGGGTATTTGTAAAAGGAGGAATAATTTAAAAAAAAAAAAACACACAAATGTTAAAAGACAGATATGATTCGTAAAATCAAAAAATTAATAGATAAAAATATTAAAAATATTTGGAGAATAAAAAAAAGAATATAATAAAAATATATTATTAAAATAAAAAATGCATATATTATAAGCCTTTACCTTTACCTTTGCATGATTTCCCAAACTTAAGGTCATATTTAGCCCATCTTTTAAAGACAAACTTATTTAGAAGCTTAGTTTTAAAAATAGAATAAAATTGTGGAATTTTTTTTATCTTTTATTTTTAAATTCCTTTAAAATTATAAGATGCTTGATAATTTTAAATTTATTTAACATTAATTACCTCAATGAAACATAAATATATTGATAAAATAAAAAATATGTAAAATTAATATAATAAACATAAATTTATTTTAATGATAAAAAATACATAAAATTATTAAAATATACATTTAAACTTTTATAAAATTTATTTTCATAAATAAAATTTTAAAGATTATTTGAAATATTTTATTATATGCGATAATAGTTAAAAGAAAAATATTTAAAAACTTTTATATTATTATTGTAAAATTATATACTTATAATTTTTTTAATATAACACAATTAAAATTTTTAATTTTTAAAATTTTAAATTATAAGTATTTTAAAATACCAGAATTTTATTTAACTATATTATTTACTCATTTCAGTAATGTTATTTTATTTTGATGTAATGAATACATTAATATTTAATTAACTTAAATATGTTTTTAATTCATTTAAAAGGAGTGAGTTTTGATTTTTGTTCCCGTAAATTTTTTTTGTTTTTTATTTTTCTAAAATTTGTAAACATTATTTTTTATTCGTGAACAATAAAATTTTTTTGGTTTTAATCTCTGAAAAATATATATATTTTTTTATTTATCTAAAATTTAAAATCACTATGTTTGGTACCTTACGACATTTTAAGGTATATATATATATATAT